TCCTCGCACACCAGGCGAGGTAGTCAACATCTCCTAGCCACCGTGATGATGATGAGAGAGACACGCAAACTCCAAATATACAGCAGCAGGCTTCGTCGGGAGCGGAATCGAACACACGACCTCCTACACACCAGGCGAGGAAGTTAACATCTCCTAGCCACCGTGATGATGGAGAGAGAGAGACACACGCAACAACACTACCACCAACAACACCAACAACACCACCACCACCACCAACAACACCACCACCAACAACACCACCAACACCACCACCAACAACACCACCGACAACAACACCACCAACACCGCCAACACCAACAACATCACCACCACCACCAACAACACCACCACCAACAACACCACCAACACCACCAACACCACCACCACCACCAACACCACCACCACCAACAACAACCACTACACCACCACCAACACCACCACCACCAACACCACCACCACCAACACCACCACCAACAACACCACCAACAACAACACCACCACCACCAACAACACCACCATCACCAACAACACCACCACCAACACCATCACCAACACCACCAACAACTACACCACCAACAACCACACCACCAACAACCACACCACCAACAACCACACCACCAACAACACCACCAACAACCACACCACCAACAACCACACCACCAACAACCACACCACCAACAACTACACCACCAACAACCACACCACCACCACCAACAACCCCACCACCATCACCACCACCACCAACGATACCACCAACGACAGCACAACCAACGACAACCACCACCACCAACAACACCATCACCACCAACAACACCACCACCATCACCAACAACACCATCACCACCAACAACACCACCACCAACAACACCACCACTAACAACACCACCACCAACACCACCACCAACACCACCACCAACAACCCCACCACCAACAACAACACCACCAACAACCCCACCACCAACAACACCAACACTACCACCAACTACACCACCAACAACCACACCACCAACACCATCACCACCAACAACATCACCACCAACAACCCCACCACCAACAACACCAACACTACCACCAACTCCACCACCAACAACATCACCACCACCAACACCATCACCACCAACAACATCACCACCACCAACAACAACACCACCACCAACAACACCACCACCACCACCAACGATAACACCACCACTAACAACACCACCAACAACCACCACAACACCACCACCAACAACACCACCAACAACACCACCACCAACAACACCACCAACAACACCACCACCAACACCATCACCACCACCACCACCACCACCAACGATAACACCACCACTAACAACACCACCAACAACCACCACCACAACACCACCACCAACAACACCACCACCACCAACAACACCAACACCACCACCAACCCCACCACCAACAACACCACCAACACCACCACCAACACCACCACCAACATCACCACCACCAACACCACCACCAACACCATCACCACCACCACCAACAACACCACCACCACCAACAACACCACAAACACCACCACCAACACCATCACCACCAACAACAACACCAACATCACCACCACCACCACCAACATCACCACCACTACCAACAACACCACCACCACCACCAACAACACCAACACCACACCAACACCACCACCACTACCACCAACAACACCACCACCAACAACACTATCACACCACCACCACCAACAACAACACCACCACCAGCAACAACACCACCACCACCAACACCACCACCACCAAGGCCCCTCTGCGGCCTTGCCGATGGCAGCCACCGCGCCTCCTGTAATGGCGGCGCTCCACCACCACCGCCGCCGCGTAACGAAACTCTCCCTCATCAAACACAAACTAACAATTAAACAAACTACAACAAACACACACACAACAACAGCAACACACACACAGCTATCGAGAAGCATCGTCGTCGTAGAGACGAGAGAGATGTTTGTTGGGTGATGATGATGATGGTGGTGAAGATGATGATGATGGTGGTTGTTGTTTGTAACGCGGGAGAAGGAGGAGATGGGGGTTGGGGAGAGAGCACAGCTCCCTTCGCGTTCGCCTCGGGGAAGGGCCTCAACATCGCACATCAGTCCCGAAAGGGGGGCGGAAGGAAAGGCGAGAAGAAGGAAAAACGAAAGGAAGGGAGAATGAACGAAAAAAAAACCGAACACCCAACCCCGGTCGCGTTGCGTTAGTGGCGGGCACGACTACAGCCTCGCGTTTGCCTTGAGGAGGGCCTCATAACACATCAATTCCGAAAGGGCGAGGAAGGATAAGGAAGGAAAGGGGAGAAGGAAAGGTAGGAAGGTAAGAGAAGACGGAAAGAACGAAAGGTGAATGAAAAAAGTGGTAAAAAACTAACCCAAAAACACAACCCCGGGTCGTTTTGCATTAGCGGCGGACACAGCCTCGCGTTTGCCTTGGGGAGGGCCTCATAACACATCAATTCCGAAAGGGCGAGGAAGAATAGGGAAGGAAAAGAGCGAAGGAAAGGTAAGAAGGTAAGAGAAGAAGGAAAGAACGAAAGGTGAATGAAAAAAGGGGTAAAAAACTAACCTAAAAACACACAACCCGGGGTCGTTTTGCATTAGCAGCGACCACGACCACAGCCTCGCGTTTGCCTTGAGAAGGGCCTCATAACACATCAATTCCGAAAGGGCGAGGAAGGATAGGGAAGGAAAAGGAAGAATCAAAGGTAAGAATGAAAGGGAAGAAGGAAAGAACGAAAGGTGAATGAAAAAAGGGATAAAAAACTAACCCAAAAACACACAAACCGGGTCGTTTTGCGTTTATGCAGGGACCACGACCTCGCGTTTGCCTTGGGGAGAACCTCATAACACATCAATCCCGAAAGTGAGAGGAAGAATAGGGAAGGAAAGGGAAGGAAAGGTAAGAATGAAAGGGAAGAAGGAAAGAACGAAAGGTGAATGAAAAAAGGTGTAAAAAACGAACCCAAAAACACAACCCCGGGCCGTTTTGCATTTGGGTGGACACGACCTCGCGTTTGCCTTGAGGACTTCATAACATCAATCCCAAAAGGGAGAGGAAGGATAGGGAAGGAAAAGGAAGAATGAAAGGTAAGAATGAAATGGAAGAAGGAAAGAACGAAAGGTGAATGAAAAAATGGGAACAAATGAACACCCCCAACACACAAACCCGTGTAACGTTAGCGGCGACCACGACCACAGCCTCGTTCGTTCGCCTTGGGGGAATGAGCTCATCGTACATCAGGAAGGAAGGAGGAATGAAGGAATGAATGAAGAAGGATGGAGGCAAGAAATCCCAAAGTGACAACCCCGGGTCGTGTAGCGTTGACAGCGGCCACGACCCACAGCCTCGCCGCTAAGAGCCCCTAAGAGCGAGGAATGGAGATTAGGAATGAAATGTGAATGAAATAAAAGCCAAACTCACCCAGCAACACCACCACACAAACACAACAACCACACAACAACCACACGTACAACAACCACACAACAACCACACGTACAACAACCACACACAACACAACAACCACACATACAACAACCATACAACACACAAACACAACAACCACACATACAATACACAAACACAACAACCACACACACAACCATACCACACATACAACACAACAACCACACAACACAACAACCATACATACAACAGCCATACAACACACAAACACAACAACCACACATACAACCATACAACCACACGTACAACAACCACACACAACACAACAACCATACATACAACAACCATACAACACACAAACACAACAACCACACATACAATACACAAACACAACAACCACACACACAAACATACCACACATACAACACAACAACCACACAACAACAACCACACACAACAACCATACATACAACAGCCATACAACACACAAACACAACAACCACACATACAACAGCCATACAACACACAAACACAACAACCACACATACACCACACAACAACCACACACAAACACACATACAACACAACAATCACACAATAAACAGACCGGGTCGTCATTTCGCGACGACACTTACCCGGCGGCTTCGTCCGTCGTAATTATATATATTTTTTAAAATAAAATGTAAAGCTTCATCGAAACGGGCGCTTGTAATTCGAGCTGTCGGGAAACGGTAGATCGGTAGGGTTCGCGATCGAGGAAAATGTTTTACAAAAAAACGAATTAAAAAAGAAATTACAAACAAATCATCTGTTTTCCCCTCCCCCGCCACAAAACGATAAGGTTTGTTTAACGTTAGCACCACAACGTTGCCTTTAGCTTCATCGACTCGGCTCCAATGGCGTAAACAACAACAACAACAACCACAACCCAGACAACAAAATAATAAAATATCGGAACCGTAGCCGACATCGGTACGAGGCCCTCGCCCGTCCCCCCTCCCGCCCGCCGCCCAGCGCCTCATCCCGGCCAAGCGTCGCTATCCGAGCACGGTGCGACTCCCCCGAACCCCGACGCCTCCCCTAGGCCGCGGCCGACTTCGCCGAGCCGCCGCCGGCGAACGGAGCGTCGCCGAGACGTCGCTCGAACGGCGGCCGCTCCGCCGGGCGTTTTCCAAGCGCGTCGCGAAGATCCCGAGGCGATGGGTGCTACGGCGCGGATACGGCGCCGTCGTGAACGACCGGTCCCCCCCCCCCCCCTCCATTGCTTCGATTTCGCTATTGACGCAGGCGACGCGGCGAGAAGCCGCAGCGCCGCGAGTTGCCGACACGGTGGGGTGGGGCGGGGTGACGATGCCCCGCCCCCTGCGGTGACGTCACGGGCGGGGTGGGGGCGACGGTCATCCAATGGGAGCGAGGCGCCGCCGGGATGCGCGCGCGATTAACATAATTTATGCGGAATAATTAGGCGATCCCGTGCGTCCGAGTTCGGGAAACCCCGCGAGTTCGGCCCCTATATAAGTGGCTGCTCGACGGCTTCGCACTCAGATCGGGGTGGTCGCTCCTCCAGCGCGGAGCTCTGGAAGAGGCAGGACCACGCCATCCGGCCGCAATCCCGATCCGTATACTTTAAAGATATAGTATATGTTAATCAGGGGGGGGGGGGGGTGTGGTTTGCGTGTGACAATTAAAGAAAAAAAAGTTATTAGTTAACGTTATATTCGAATAATAAAGAAACTTTTCGTAGAGACACAACTCTTTCCCCCCCCTACCCTCCCCCCCTCCATCTTTCCCCTTACCCTCCCCCTCTCCCGGCTTAAACGTTAATCGACTTAAATTAAAAACTATATAATCCGTAACAAAATAAAAGTGTGCCGCAGGTAAGCGGCGGCGGGAGGCGGCGTTGTTGTTTTTTTTAAAAAGAAGGAAAAGTTTTGTTAAAAGATTATTATATAAATAAAATAATAAATTTCAAAAGAAAGCCATGCCGCATTACGGGCCACCCTCGAGCGAGAGCGCCTGCCCGCTCCGCACCATCAAGAGGCTGCAGTTCGGAGTGCTGAGCCCCGATGAGATTGTACGTGGTGGGTGGGTGGCTGGTGGGTGGGTGGTGGGTAGGGGTGGGTGGGTGGCTGGTGGGGTAGTGGATGGGTGGGTGGCTGATGGGTGAGTTGGGGTGGATGGTTTTTCGGTCAGGGTAGTAGTGGGTAGGGGTGGGACTCTTAACTTGAAGTGGTCTCCTAATGTTAAGCCTATGGGGTGAACGCGTGATAAGTTGTGTAACGGCGCGTAAAATGTGTCTATTTTTAAAACTCTTATTAAAAGTAAAACGCGCCTTTGTTAAATGGATGTCGTCGATTTTAAAAGCGCGTGTTGAGTTTGAATTTTTTGACGCGGGTTACGCATTCTGTTTTTTGATCGCCCAATTATTTTTTTCTCAACTCGTTCGGCGACTTTTAATTTGTCGTCCTCCACCGGGGACTTTTAATTTGATTTTTGATTCCTCAAGCGGTGACTTTTAATTTTTATTGTATTTCGATTCCTCCGGCTGCAAATTCGAATTTGGATTCCTCAAGCGGGGACTTTTAATTTGAATTTGGATTCCTCCATCGGGGACTTTTAATTTGAATTTTGATTCTTCCAGCGGTGACTTTGAATTTGGTTTCATCCAGCGGGGACTTTTAATTTGAATTTTGATTCCTCAAGTGGTGACTTTTAATTTGTATTTCGATTTCTCCGGCTGCAAATTTGGATTCCTCCATCGGGGACTTTTAATTTGTATTTCGATTTCTCCGGCTGCAAATTCGAATTTGGATTCCTCCAGCGGGGACTTTTAATTTGAATTCCTCCGGCTGCAACTTTTAATTTGAATTTGGATTCCTCCATCGGGGACTTTTAATTAGAATTTTGATTCCTCAAGCGGTGACTTTTAATTTGTATTTCGATTTCTCCGGCTGCAAATTAGAATTTGGATTCCTCCATCGGGGACTTTTAATTTGAATTTTGGTTCTTCCAGCGGTGACTTTGAATTTGGTTTCATCCAGCGGGGACTTTTAATTTGAATTTGGATTCCTCCATCGGGGACTTTTAATTTGAATTTTGATTCTTCCAGCGGTGACTTTGAATTTGAACTTTGATTCTTCAAGTGGTGAATTTGGATTAATCCAGCGGTGACTTTTAATTTGGATTGACTACCACCACCACCGTCCCCAATGTTAAATGTTGAATTCCGATCTACTTAAATGGGGACGTCAACTTAGCGGTGTCCATTAACGCGTGAGGAGGAGGTTTTTAAGGACTTTGCAGGTGCCTCCTCAAGGTTACGGGGATGAATCGTTGCGGGTTTTTCCTCGTTACAGTTGTGCAGGTGACGTGTTTGGAGGGGTTTTGTTGTTATCGTTTATGGACTTATCGAACGCGTCTGTAATGTCGATGCCTCTGATCAGATTTGTGTCGTTACTTAACTTGCAGGAATTCATGATCTTTGGTTCTTTCGGTAAAGTCACGTAAATAGAAAAAAATAAAAAAATACTAAAATAAAAAATCTAAAAACTCACGACGTTTCTTGTTTTTTTATATTTTTATTTTTTAAATATTTTTTTATATTCTATCTACGTGACATTAACGAAAGAACCAAAGCATATTGTTGTTTGTTACGGTGTGTTTTTTTTCGCGTGTCGAACTTAATCTGGTCACGAAAAGCATTTTCGGTAATATTTTCGAGTTCGATTTTAATCGATAGGAGGGTGGGGGGGGGGAATCATCACGATCAATATTTTTGGTGACTTCCAAGTGAATTTGACCACCACCCGTCAGAGGTCGCAATCGGGTACCCGATACCCGTACCCTACCCGATACCCGGCTACCCGTACCCGGCCGGGTAAGGGTAGCCGTTTGCGACCCTGGTGCGGCCGGGTACGGGTACGGGTAGGCCGTGAGTCACTGGTGAGTCACCGTTTGTCACTCATTTCCCAACGTCTTGTCTCTTCTCACAATTCAAGTTCCTAGAATCAACCCACCCGCGTCTGCAACATGGCTTCATCCCAGAGGTCGCAATCAGGTACCCGATACCCGTACCCTAACCGTACAGGTAGGGTACGGGTACGGCTGGGTACGGGTACCCGTTTGCGACCCTGGTGCGGCCGGGTACGGGTAGGCCGTGAGTCACTGGTGAGTCACCGTTTGTCACTCATTTCCCAACGTCTTGTCTCTTCTCACATTTCAAGTTATTAGAATCAACCCACCCGCGCCTGCAACGTGGCTTCATCCCAGAGGTCGCAATCGGTACCTGTACCCTACACGTACCCGGCCGGGTACGGGTAGGGTACGGCCGGGTACGGGTACCCGTTTGCGACCCTGGTGCGGCCGGGTACGGGTAAGGAATCAAAACCCGTTTGCGACCTCTGCCACCCGTGAACGTTACTGGACACTGAGACCGGATAAATGTGAAGAGCTTCGCAGCCTCACGGATTTCCTCCGACCAAGTCGGAAAGTGCGAAAGGTCAGGGGAGACGTTGACCTTTGCTCGGGGGGGAAAAACTAAATTATATATTTTTTGGCTCGGGATCGAGGTGCCCTGCGGACGACAAAAACGATTTGTTGATTTAAACAGACTAAAAAATAACACCCAAGCGGCTAACTATTTGGAAACGAATAGAGGCGGTGCCAGATGAAGATAGTAGCGAGGCCTGTAGCATATGTGGTTATGAAGGGGCCCTAAATGAAAAAAAACCCACAAATATGAAAGCACAATTTTGACTTGCACAGTAAACTAAATGTATTTATTTATTTGCTTTGCAGCCCAGATAATACGACAAATGACTAACCTTAAACACACGGTCGTTCGTAAAAGTCGAAGGACGGTATAGTACTATAGTACTATAGTAATAGAGCAAGTGCAGAATCATTGAACCGGAATTGATAGCTTGAAAGCGTTTAGCGTGGGGCCCTTGAAAGTGCTTGGCCCATAGCATTTGATACTTTTGCTGCTAGGATCATCCGGCTGGGAGATGTTGGCTACCTCGCCTGGTATACAGGAGGCCGTGGGTGCGATCCCAACCCTGACGAATTATTTTTATTTGGAGTTTGCGTTTCTCTCTCATCGTTATCACGGTGGCTGGGAGATGTAAACTACCTCGCCTGGTATGCAGGAGGACGTGGGTGCGATCCTGACGCCTGGTGAATATTTGTAGTTTGCGTGTCAATAATCACGGTGGTTAGGAGATGTTAACTACCTCGCCTGGTGTGCAGGAGGACGTGGGTATAAGCCTGACGCCTGCTGTATGTTTGGAGTTTTCGTGTATCATCACGGTAGCTAGGAAATGTTAACTACCTCGCCTGGTGTGCAGGAGGGACGTGGGTGTGATCCTGACACCTGCTGTATATTTGGAGTTTGCGTGTCAATCATCACGGTGGCTAGGAGATGTTAACTACCTCGCCTGGTGTGCAGGAGGTCATGGGGTGCCACCATGCCGGCCTTCTGCTCGCTGCTAACAGCTCTTGCCCCAGCGGTCTGTTAAAGGCTACGCGGGGGACCTTCGTCTGTGTGTTCGCAGAAACGGATGTCGGTGACGGAGGGTGGCATCAAGTACCCCGAGACCACCGAAGGAGGGAAACCCAAACTGGGGGGTCTCATGGACCCCCGGCAGGGAGTCATCGACCGCACGGCGCGCTGCCAGACCTGTGCCGGTCAGTGGCCTCGCAATGCACCCCTTTTTCGTTACCACTGGCGTGCAATGGGGTGGCCAGCACGGTACCGGTGGGTTTTTCCACTGGCACATTCTGAGCCAGTGTTGAGGCCCAGCACGGTATGGGTGGGTTTTTCTACTGGCACATTAAGAGCCTGTGTTGGGGCTAGCACGGTATGGGTGGGTTTTTCCACTGGCACATTAAGAGCCAGCGTTGGGGCCAGCACGGCACGGGTGGGTTTTTCCACTGGCACATTCTGAGCCAGCGTTGGGGCCAGCACGGTATGGGTGGGTTTTTCCACTGGCACATTAAGAGCCAGTGTTGAGGCCAGCACGGCACGGGTGGGTTTTTCCACTGGCACATTCTGAGCCAGTGTTGGGCCCAGCAAGGCACGGGTGGGTTTTTCCACTGGCACATTCTGAGCCTGTGTTGGGGCCAGCACGGTATGGGTGGGTTTTTCCACTGGCACATTAAGAGCCAGCGTTGGGGCCAGCACGGCACGGGTGGGTTTTTCCACTGGCACATTCTGAGCCAGCGTTGGGGCCAGCACGGTATGGGTGGGTTTTTCCACTGGCACATTAAGAGCCAGCGTTGGGGCCAGCACGGCACGGGTGGGTTTTTCCACTGGCACATTCTGAGCCAGCGTTGGGGCCAGCACGGTATGGGTGGGTTTTTCCACTGGCACATTAAGAGCCAGTGTTGAGGCCAGCACGGCACGGGTGGGTTTTTCCACTGGCACATTCTGAGCCAGTGTTGGGCCCAGCAAGGCGCGGGTGGGTTTTTCCACTGGCACATTCTGAGCCTGTGTTGGGGCCAGCACGGTATGGGTGGGTTTTTCCACTGGCACATTCCGAGCCTGTGTTGGGCCCAGCACGGTTCGGTGGGTTTTTCCACTGGCACATTCTGAGCCGGTGTTAGGGCCAGCACGGAACGGGTGGGTTTTTCCACTGGCACATTCTGAGCCAGTGTTGGGGTCAGCACGGTATGGGTGGGTTTTTCCACTGGCACATTCTGAGCCGGTGTTGGGGCCAGCACGGAACGGGTGGGTTTTTCCACTGGCACATTCTGAGCCAGTGTTGGGGTCAGCACGGTATGGGTGGGTTTTTCCACTGGCACATTCTGAGCCTGTGTTGGGCCCAGCACGGTACTGGTGGGTTTTTCCACTGGCACGTTCTAAGCCTGTGTTGGGGCCAGCACGGTACGGGTAGGTTTTTCTCACTGGCACATCCCTGAGCTAAGGCCCCGTACGTCATCGATCGGAACGGAATCGGAATCAAAACCGGTGACGTTTATTACACGTACGACGTCGCAACGTGAAAGTGTCAATAACCGCACCCCTATTTTTTTTAAGACTCTGAAGATCGATTGCTCAGTTGCTCTGTACTTGTTCGTTTGAACGGGCAGGCAACATGACCGAGTGCCCGGGTCACTTTGGCCACATCGAGCTGGCCAAGCCGGTGTTCCACGTGGGCTTCCTCACCAAGACCATCAAGGTGCTCCGATGCGTCTGCTTCTTCTGCTCCAAGATGCTCGTGGATTCGGTGAGGCTTTGGGTACCCGGTGGGGCTGGGTGGGGTAAGATGCAGGGATTGGCACGAGGTTTGGTGGGGATGGAAGGGGGAGCAACGTTTTTTTTTTAAGGTGGGCCCCACAGATCATCTGAGATCCTTGCCCTCGATTGTGGTACCCTGTAGTAGTTTTTACCGTTTAAACTGGTACTAAACTGACACCTTTATACAAGGCATCATGTTTGCAATAACCGCAACACAAGCAGTCAAAATGCAAACAAAAAAAAATTTACCCGTAAAAACAAAGTTTTTCACTATAAATCCTTTATATGCGTGGCGGCTAGAGTCCTCTCGTCCTCTGGCTTGAGATGGCTGCCACCTATGGGTCAGATGATTGCCTGCCACCATTAAGCAATTGGTAATTAAATATAAAAAAAAATTCCTAAAAAGTGTAAAATTTAGCAAATGTTTTTTTCACGAAAATTAATTGTCACGCACAACGAGTCTGTGTGGAAAATGTCAGCTCGATTGGATCACGGGAAGTGGGTTAAAAAACGACCGAAAGATTTGCACGGTCGTAAGCGCGCAAGCAAGCGAACTTAATATAAAGGATTTAAAAAGAAACAACTCTGATAATGGTAATGATATGCATTGTCCTTGAAGTTGATTGGTCCACACCCGAGACAGCTTTCCTTAGAGCCTAGTCTCCATTGGTGTTGGACCAGATGACGCCAAAAGGCGCACAACTCAAAGACAATGCACCATCAGAGTATGAGAGCTCGGGGTAAGCATTTACACCATTGGAACCTCCTTTGCCAGTAGCAAAATATGATAATTGTTTTTTTACCCTTTTATCTGGCAACAAAACTGACACCTGTTTTTTTTACAATGTGTCATGTTTGCATAGACCACAATACCTGCGGTCGGAATGCAAACAAAAAACACAACTCTGATAATGTGTGCACTGTCCTTGAAGTTGATTGGTCCACACCCGAGACAGCTTTTCTTAGAGCCCAGTCTCACTTGGTGTTGGACCAGATGACGCCAAAAGGCGTACAACTCAAAAACAGTGCACTATCAGAGTTTTGAGAGCTGTTTAAAGGGTGAAAACCTACTACTATATTTTGCCACTGGTAAAGGAGGTCTCGTAGTGTGGTACCCTGGTCACCAATGATGCACGCGCGGAGACCCGCGCAACAGACTGAGCTACCGTGATTAACCGGTGTCTCTCTCTCTTTCGTTGCCACCTGGCGAATCAAAAAACACATCCAGCTTGAACGTTCCTGTTCTATTCCTTGTTCAGAATAACTCTTCCCCCCCCCCCCCCCCCCCCAAAAAATAATCCACACTCGGCTTGAATGGTGCCCCGGTTCCATCTCTTGCTGTTCAGAACAACCCCAAAACACTCGGCTTGAACGTTCCTGCTCCGTTTTGTTTGTTCAGAACAACCCCAAAATATAGTAGTAGGTTTTTACCCTTTCAACTGGTACAAAACTGACACCTTATTACAAGGCATCATGTTTGCAATAACCACAACACAAGCAGTCAAAATGCAAACAAAAAGAAACAGCTCGGCTTGAACGTTCCTGCTCCGTTTTGTTTGTTCAGAACAACCCCAAAAAACACACTTGGATTGAACGGTTCTGTTCTGTTTATACTGTTCTGTTTATACAGAACAACACCATAACACTCGTTGAACGTTCCCCTGTTCCATCGCGTTTGTTCAGAACAACCCCAGAACACGCAGCTTGAACGTTCCCCTGTTCCATCGCGTTTGTTCAGAACAACCCCAGAACACGCAGCTTGAACGTTCCCCTGTTCCATCGCGTTTGTTCAGAACAACCCCAGAACACGCAGCTTGAACGTTCCCCTGTTCCATCGCGTTTGTTCAGAACAACCCCAGAACACGCAGCTTGAACGTTCCCCCCCTCCCCGTTTCGTCTCCTCGTCCGGAACAACCAGAACAAAAACCCACACGCCCATCGGCTTCACGAACGTTCCACCCTCACGCCCCCCGCTCAACCCCCGTTTCCGTGTCTCTCTCTTCCCCCCCCCCCGCTTCCTTCACCTCCGTTCAGAACAACCCCAAGATCAAGGACATCCTGCTTAAGTCTCGTGGCCAGCCTCGCCGGAGGCTCACGCACGTGTACGACCTCTGCAAGGGCAAGAACATCTGCGAGGGTGGCGAGGAGATGGACTCGCGCTTCGACGGCGACCTCAAGGAGGGCGCCTCGGAGGAGACTAAGGAAAAGGTGCGTCAGAGGTCGCAAACGGGTTTTGATTCCTTACCCGTACCCTACCCGTACCCGGCCGGGTACTCGTGGAAATTTAAGGTATTCTATACAGTTTCTTCAATGTTATCTGACTGAATGAAAGGCAGAATTGCGTTTTTAGAGTTGTTCACGTTTGCCTGAGTGGCTTATATTTGGTTACATTGTCATTTGAAAAATAAAAGGTAATTGTGACAATGAAAATAGTTCGATAACAGTGTGTGTATTTCCACGTAACTTTTTGCGGTTAAAAAAATGTCAAAAGGAACTATTGGCCCCCGGGCATCTTCACTTTATCAAATGTGGCCCTCTTTGCAAAAAGTTGGGACACCCCTTGCCTTAGGGCCTAGTCTCAATGCCAGTGTCAGACCAGAGGACTACGTAGTGGCGGCTCCTGCAAAATCTCTCGGGGGGCAAATGTCTGGATGATTGATAAGGATAAGGTCCACCCATGCAATGGATAAATTAACAGCTTAAGCATGTAAAGGCAACTTCACTTCTTTAATATTAATGAAAAATAAAGTGACTCTTACAATACATCTCCTTGTTTGTTTCTATACTCACTATTATTACAATCCACTCAGTATCTTTTATTAAAGATTCCACTAGGTGGCGACAAATAATACTGTTGACTGAAACGTGCTTACGTATGATGACGTAAGCACGTTAGTGCGAGCCCTCCCGGAAGCCATAGAGAATGCATTGGAGCGCCCGCCGGTCGAAAAAAAAACATCTTTGAATGTAAGTCTATGGGGCCACTCGGGGCGATTCTCAGCCGGAGTGAAATCGCCCAAAAAGAGGCGGTACTCCACAGAACGTGACATGATGCTGATTGGACTATATCCAGAGGCACAGTGACGGCTCGCGTAACTCTGTGGTTTAATGACATTGGTGGTGCGTCGCCCAATCTCCCTAATGAAGAAACCGCCCCTGGGACTACGCCAAAAGGCGGACAGCACCAGGACCATGCCACTGTCTAGACGTTGAGAGCTTGGGGTGAGAAGCTTCATCATCGGACCTCCCTCCCTCTGCTGCTGCTGCTCCTACTCCCGCTCACCCTCCCTCTTCCCTCCACTACTGCTGCTGCTGCCCCTGCTGCTGCTGCTGCTGCTACTGCTGCCCCTGCTGCTGCTGTTGCTGCTGTTGTTGCTGCTGTTGTTGTTGTTGTTGCTGCCGCTGTTGTTGCTGCCGCTGTTGTTGCTGCTGCTGTTGCTGCTGCTGTTGTTGTTGCTGCTGCTGTTGCTGCTGCTGTTGTTGCTGCTGCTGTTGTTGTTGCTGCTGTTGCTGCTGTTGTTGTTGCTGCTGCCACTGCCCCTGCTGCTGCCGCTGTTGTTGTTGCTGCTGCTGCCCCTGCTGCTGTTGTTGCTGTTGTTGCTGCTGCTGCTGCTGTTGTTGTTGCTGCTGTTGCTGCTGCCCCTGCTGCTGCTGCTGCTGCTGTTGCTGCTGCTGCTGCTGTTCCACGTGTGCCCAGGGCCACGGGGGCTGCGGGCGCTACCAACCTCGCATCCGCCGCTCGGGCCTGGAGCTCACGGCCGAGTGGAAGCACATCAACGAGGACTCCCAGGTGGGTGCAGCCACAGCCACAGCCACGGCCACACGCGCCTGGGGGAGGGGAGGGAGCCTTAGTCTGGCTCCGTGAGCCTCGGTCATGGACACTGAACCCTGTGGGAGCCTTAGTCTGGCTCTGTGAGCCTCGGTGATTAAGACTGAACCCTGCGGGAGCCTCAGTGATTAACACTGAACCCTGTGGGAGCCTCAGTGATTAACACTGAACCCTGTGGGAGCCTCAGTGATTAACACTGAACCCTGTGGGAGCCTCAGTGATTAACACTGAACCCTGTGGGAGCCTCAGTGATTAACACTGAACCCTGTGGGAGCCTCAGTGATTAACACTGAACCCTGTGGGAGCCTCAGTGATTAACACTGAACCCTGTGGGAGCCTCAGTGATTAACACTGAACCCTGTGGGAGCCTCAGTGATTAACACTGAACCCTGTGGGAGCCTTAGTCTGGCTCTGTGAGCCCTATGGGAGCCTTGGCCTAGTTCTGCGAGCCTCGCCAATGAACACGGCGGCGCGACCGTGCCGGCAAGAAGTTGACGTTGACGTCTACGTTGTCGTCATCGTCGCGAGCAGGAGAAGAAGATCGTGCTGAGCGCCGAGCGAGTCTACGAGATCTTCAAGCGCGTGACGGACGAGGAGTGCACCATCCTGGGCATGGACGTGAAGTTCGCGCGGCCCGAGTGGATGGTGGTGACGGTGCTGCCGGTGCCGCCACTCGCCGTGCGGCCGGCCGTCGTCATGCAGGGCTCCGCGCGCAACCAGGTGAGTTCGTGGCGGCGATCGCGTGACCTTGACGACTGCCGTAACCCAGAGGTCGCAGATGGGTTTTGATTGGATAATTGGTTTTTTACCCTTCTATCTGGCAACAAAACTGACACCTTTTTTACAAGGAGTCGTGTTTGCATAGACCGCAATACCTGCAGTCGTAATGCAAACAAAAAACATAACTCTGATAATTCTAGATTTGAAGCTTTCGTGACTGCAAGGATTCATACTTTCGGTAAAGTCACGTAGGTAGAAAATGAAATTAAAATTAATAAAAATAAAACAATAAAAATCACGACGTTTCGGAGGCAACACAAGCTTCCATCTTCAGGTGAAACCGTCACAGCAAAATATCTGTACTCTGATAATGATATGCACTGTCCTTGAAGTTGATTGGTCCACACCCGAGACAGCTTTCCTTAGAGCCTAGTCTCACATGGTGTTGGACCACTTCGCGATGTCCCCGCAGGACGACCTGACGCACAAGCTCGCCGACATCGTGAAGATCAACAACCAGCTGAAGCGCAACGAACAGAACGGCGCCGCGGCGCACATCATCGCCGAGGACGTAAAGCTGCTGCAGTTCCACGTGGCCACCATGGTGGACAACGAGATGCCCGGCTTGCCCAGGGTGAGCAGGCCGCTGGGTTTGACGGATCACGTGGTCGCGTGCCGTCCCCCCCCCTTTCTGACGAATCACGTGGTAGTGTGCCGCCCCCCCCCCTTGGGAGACGCTGTCTAGTGCCGCCCTCTTTGAGATGTTGCAAATTTCCGCCCCCGTCCCCCCCACCCTTTCTGACGAATCACGTGGTGGTGCCGCCCTCTTTTCTGACATCACGTGGTGGTGCCGCCCTTCTTTGTAACATGTCACATGATGCTGCCTGCCCCCCTTTGTAATGGATCACATGGTGCTGCCTGCCCCCCTTTGTAATGGATCACATGATTTCGATGTAAAGCTTTCGTGACTGCAGGGATTCATCTTCTTGGTTCTTTCGGTAAAGCCACGTAGAAGGGAAGTAATAAAATAATAAAAATAAAACAATAAAATAATTCTCACGACGTTTCGGCCACAACGCAAGCAGCCGTCCTCAGGTGAAGAACAGGTCTGTCGGAAAGCGTCTAAATATACGCTCTAAGCCTGGGGTGTTTCATTCAGACGCTGTCTTCCCGACAGACCTGTTCTTCACCTGAGGACGGCTGCTTGCGTTGTGGCCGAAACGTCGTGAGAATTATTTAATAATGTTTTATTTTTATTATTTTATTATTTCCTTCTACGTGACTTTACCGAAAGAACCAAGAAGACATCACATGATGCTGCCGCCCCCCTTTCTAACACGTCACATGGTGCCGCCCCCCACCTCTCCAACCGCCGCTCGTGCCGACGCAGGCGATGCAAAAGTCCGGCCGTCCCCTCAAGTCGCTGAAGCAGCGGCTCAAGGGCAAGGAAGGTCGCGTGCGAGGCAACCTCATGGGCAAGCGCGTCGACTTCTCGGCGCGCACCGTCATCACGCCCGACCCCAACCTCTCCATCGACCAGGTCGGCGTGCCACGCTCCATCGCCGCCAACATGACCTTCCCCGAGATCGTCACGCCCTTCAACATCGACAGGTGACGGGGGGG